CCCACTGGGTGTAGTACACGCATGCTTCGCTGCAAGTCTTTGGTTCTGCTGCTTGCGCAGATAGAGGTTAACTCGGGTGTGGCAGCCTCTTGAGATGCTTACCAGACTGTCTATAAACATTTCTGATTGGGGACTCGGCTCTGAATCTGGTTGTGATCGTCGTCCGGCTGCGACGTAAAATAATTCCTGGAGTCACTTGGGGGCGGACGTTGGGTTGCCTCTTGATCAGCCAGATCAACCGAGTGTAAGGCTCGTCGGCGTACGAGGATTAATAAGAGTGCTGAGGCTGCCTTGCTCGACGATAACCTGGGGCACAGGGGTGGGATCGGATTGCACACCTTCAGTCACGCATGCTACCCGATTGCTCAAGACGCTGACGGCAAGAGGTACTCAAGTGTAGATTGGAGGGAGGGTTGATTCCAGGTGACAAGTTCGAGAAAATACCATGCTGTCCTATCCACACAAGTGATTCTATTTTTATGTTTTGATTAGTTAGATGGACTGCCATTGACATTTGACAAACAGCATTAGTTAGAACTGTTGATTGTTCCTGGTGCTTCTGTTTGCGGACTAGTCATACTAAAAATAGTTTCAGTTGTAGGAGTCTGAATCATCTGCTGACCCCAAATGAGATCTGTTCCAAAAGTAGCCACCATCAATTAGTTGGTTTGTGCACTATGCTGCGGTAGGCATCTAGAATGATCTAGTGTAGACAGCGCACAGTGTTGTAGCCTATGAGCGACACGGGGGACACCGCAGAAGACGACCGCAGGATCTTGCGATCAGCTAGAGGCCCGATATCCCACGTGTCCTTAGGACCGGAGGGTGATAGGGAACTGTTCCGCCGGCAGCGGGAGAGACAGTAGCAGAGGAGAGCTAGAGCAGTCGAGGCCAGCAGGGCATTAGCTAGCGAGGCCGGTGCTACATCAGCCATGGCTACCACAGCCATGAGCACGTCTGCGCAACAGACTTCCCAAGCCGGTAGTTCAGGTACCATCGGGTCCACGGTCGCGCAGACCGTGAGTCAGTCCACTGGCTTAATGGCAAGCCAGCCCGCGGTGTTGACCCCAGAGGATGTCGCCATTCAGTAGGCAGCCCTGCAAGAGGCACAACTACAGCAGGCATTAGGACAGTTAAAAAGAGAGAAGGAAATGATGATTAGAAGAAGAACCAGGATGCAACGAAGAGGGGCAGACATAGAGGAGTTAGAAATGATGGACCTGACGAACATGGATGATGACGTGAGGGTAGTTAGGAGGGCCCTGCTAGGGATAATAGAGATGCAGGAGCATTAGACTACCATCCTTCATGACATCCAGCAGAGCCTAGCCATTTTGGTAGGGCGTTCTCAGACAGCGCCATCACTTGCAGGGCCGGGTGCCCGGCCTGTGCCATATCCTCCCTTTTCTGTCCCACCGGTCACTGGGGTATCCCCATTTGTAGCCCCGTCGACGGTTGCTGTCGTTTCCCTGGGCATGCCGCTCTCAGGAGGGCTATCAGCAGGTCCTGGTGTTCAGGTTCCAGTACAGTCAGTGGTCACCCAGGTTCCGTCACAGGTTGCCATTAGTGGGCAATCTGTTGTCTCGCAGTCTGTGCAGCCACAGGGCACACAGCCCCAGCAGCTAGCACAACAACCTGTATCACCGGGTCCACAGCCCGCGTTGGTGCAGGGACCGGGACAAAGTCAGTGGGTTCCAAAGACGGCCATCGCGGCTCCCAAACCCTTTACAGGGGACAAGAGAGGCGAAGATCTCGACACGTGGTTGAGGGTAGTGCCGGTCTATGTCAGGTGTAAACTCACCTTGCCACACGAAGAAGTGCTTGTGGCTGCATCCTACCTAGAGGGTAGTGCAACAAGATGGTTGAGTGGGTTAATACAACTCCAGGGGCACGGTCATGACTTCCGCTCTTGGGCAGCCTCTCATAAATTAGAGGATTTCCTAAAGATGGTGGAAGAAAGATGGCATGATCCTCAGGAGGCCCAAAAGGCCACTGATGCGATCCTGACACTGCACACGAGGCAGTATAAGTCAGTAAGGGAAGCCACAGACACTGTAGAGCGTCTGATCTGTGTTCCAGGGGTGCGCTATGACCCCCAGGTCCTGTTGACTTCGTACTTGAGGTGCTTATCTCAGCCTCTCAGGAACCAATTGGCAAAAGAGGCCAACATCAATATGCACAACTTTCCTTCGTTCAATAAGGTGGCCCTAGACCTAGAAGCAAAAATAGGGCATGGACATAACTCAGTGACGGACGGGAAAAAGAAGACCCTGCCTCCTAACTGGAAAGCCAAGGGTCGCATTATGTTCGTCGACCACGATGGCTCAACAATTGAGTTGGACGACGACTCCCAGTTAGGAGTAGGTGCAGAGGCAGGTGGCGGTGCTTCAGAGGGTGGAGTAGTCGCCGCCGTAACCCAACAAAAAGGTAAGGGGACCGGTAGACGCCGAGAGGGCTCCCGGTCTAGGAATCAAGTTGACCCCAATGCTCCTCCATGGGAGAAAGCGGGTCTTTCCGAGGACGTGTGGAGAGATCGGTGGAACCGTCAGGCCTGCATTCGTTGTGGTCAATACGGCCATAACCAGTTCAAATGTGGGAACAAGAAGGTCACCGATAAGATCCCGCCTACTATGGGGCAGGCGGTAGGATCCTCATCTCCTGTAGGCAGCAATGTTGCCAGTTCGTCAGGCACTGCTCCGGGAAACACGTCAGGCCAGTAGGAATAGAAGCTGTTCCTACTAGGGACGAGGTGGTGGAGACACCCTCGCCATCTCACATCATGGCCCAAGCTACTGATTCCCTTGTCGTCCCGCAAACGCATTTAGACCCATCAACCCTTTGCTCGATGAATGTGTTTGAGTCCTTAGAGGAGCTAGAGGAGGAGTGGTCTAGACTAGACCCGCTAGCTTCTTGGACGGCACTAGCTAAAGCCCCGAAGGGTGAGATGTTCGTCAACGAGATAGTCGTAGGCGGCCGCAAGGCCGGGGCCTATTATGACACTTGCTCAACACGAAACTTCATTAGTCGCGCGTGCGTTGAGAGGCTGCGTTTACAGGGGCAAGTGCAGCGCCTGAGTCGACCTGTGGAGTCGACCTGTGCCAACAAACAGCGCATGGTAGTTAATGACTACCTTCAGGATGTTGAGTGCCTGTTCCCATACGCGGGAGGGGAATTGAGGCATCGTGTCTCATTCCTAGTGAGCAACGATCTCCCCATGGATATCTTGTTAGGTATGTACTACCTCTCGGTTGCACAGCCCCAGTTTGACTGGGACCGAAAAGTGGTCAAGCACACTTTGCCAGGTGGAGGGACCGCCAGATTACACAAGTTCAAAGCTAGTAGTCTGATTGAGTCCTACRGRTGCWTGTGTGCGGCCGCATTCTATAATTATTATAAGCAAAATCAGGAGGAGGGTATGTACTTAGTTTATGTCTCTGCTGCAGGCGAGCCGGTGAAAATGTCGCCGGAGATAGAGGGAGTAGTTGCCAAGTACCCTGATCTATTTGAAGAGCCGACAGGGGTTGTCGAGAGGGAGGTTGTTCACGCGATAGAAATTATCCCAGGATCTAGTATTCCAAAGGGTAGGATCTATCGGATGTCTCCAGGCGAGCTTGATGAGCTTCGCCGCCAACTCAAGGAACTCGTAGAGAAGGGTTGGATCCGGCCGAGTGTCTCTCCTTATGGGTCTCTAGTGTTATTCGTGCCTAAGAAGAAGGAGGGTACTCTCAGGATGTGCATTGATTATAGGGGTCTCAATGCCATCACTGTAAAGAACAGAGAGCCCCTACCGCGCATCGATGATCTGTTAGATAGAGTGCAAGGGTCTCGGTACTTCAGTAAGATAGATCTGATGTTCGGGTACCATCAGATTGCAATCCGGCCCGAGGATCAACTCAAAACCGCATTTCAGACCAGGTACGGTCTGTACGAGTTTGTGGTGATGCCTTTTGGCCTGTGCAATGCTCCTGGCACCTTTCAGCACGCTATGAATCGGATATTCCATGACTACTTGGATAAGTTTGTCATTGTGTACCTTGATGATATACTTATCTTTAGTAAGACTGTCGAGGAGCATGCAACACATTTAGATAAAGTCCTCAGTCTCTTGCGACAGCACAAGTTCAAGATCAACGGTGAAAAGTGCGAATTTGGCCGCACCCGTGTCTTGTACTTGGGTCATGAGATCTCCGCGGAAGGGTTGAAGCCCAATGACGCGAAGGTGGCCAGCATTCGTGATTGGCCACGACCTCAGTCCGTGACTGAGATGAGATCTTTCTTAGGAATGACARGCTACTAYCGGACTTTTGTAAAGAACTATAGCWWWGTGGCCGCTCCTTTGACTGATCTGACCCGCCTTGACACCCTGTGGGAGTGGACAGATGAGTGCGAGGCTGCTTTCAGACATCTGAAGCATGCATTGACGGACTATGAAGTTTTGAAGCTACCCGATCCTGATAAGCCATTTATAGTAACCACGGATGCTAGCCAATATGGCATTGGCGCCGTGCTTGCGCAGCAGGAGGGGCCGAAGTTGAGGCCAGTCGAGTACATGTCAAAGAAGATGCCGTCTCAGAAGTTGGCAAAGTCCACCTATGAGAAGGAACTCTACGCCGTGTACAAGGCTCTAACCCATTGGAGGCACTATCTCCTTGGGAGGTTCTTCATCCTTAGGACTGATCATCAGACCTTGAGATGGATAAGAACGCAGCCAGCACTTTCCGACGCCCTGAAGCGTTGGATCGAGGTCATTGAGCAGTATGACTTCGACCCCCAATATTTAAAAGGGGAGTACAACAAGGTGGCTGATGCCTTGTCGCATAGACCTGATTTCTCAGGTGCGCTGATTACTGAGTTCGAGTTAAACGATGACGTGTCTCGATCATTGGTGGAGGCCTATCGAGAAGATCAGTTTATGTCAGAGATCATCCGCAGACTCGAGGCGAAGGACAAACAGACTTCAGCTGAGTTTGAGATGGTCAATGGCTTGTTGTTTCTCGAGAAGGAGGGGAATAAACGATTGTGTGTCCCTTGTAGCGAGTCTTTGCGTAGTTTATTTTTAGGAGAGTGTCATGATGCCACCGGTCATTTTGGGTTAAAAAAGACCGCAGCCAATTTGCTGCAGAGGTTTTGGTGGCCCACGATGATGAAAGATGCCAAGTTGTATGTGGAGACTTGTCAAGTTTGCCAACGAGACAAGCCCCGTACTCAGGCTCCTCTTGGGCTGATCAAGCCCCTTACAATTCCGGAGAGGCTGGGTGAGAGCCTGTCCATGGACTTCATGGATACACTAGTCACCAGCAAGAGTGGGATGAGACAGATCTTCGTCATCGTGGATAGGTTTAGTAAGTTTGCTAGGTTAGTAGCAATGCCTGAGACAGCAAAGACTGAGTATGCGATTAAGCTGTTCAAAGAAAACTGGGTGAGGGATTTCGGATTGCCCAAGTCTATTGTGAGGGACCGAGATGTGAGGTTTACAAACGAGTTATGGAAGGCCGCTGCAGCCGAACAGGGAACTCAACTGCAGATGACTTCTGGGAATCATCCCGAAGCCAACGGCCAGGCCGAACAGATGAACCGCGCTGTGCAACACCTGTTGAGGCATTATATCAAGCCCAACCAGGTGGACTGGGACGAAAAGCTCGCACTTGTCGCCAGTCTATACAATAACGCTGTACACAACGCTACAGGGGTGAGTCCTAACAGTCTACAACTAACGTTTAAGCCTAGACTGCCCTTAGACTTCCTACTTTCTGACAACCAGCCAACTGCTGCACCAGACACTCTAGAGTTTGCCTAGTGATATGAACAGAAGATGCAGGAGGCTGTAGAGCACATGCAGAAGGCGCAGGCAGCAATGATAGAATTTGAGAATAAACACAGCCGCCCTTCTACATTTCAGGTTGGGGACAGAGTCTGGGTCAAGTCTTCAGAGCTGGGACAGGAGTTCGGGATATCCCGCAAACTCATGCCTCAGTACTTTGGACCTTGGGAAGTTTTAGATGTAGTTGGGACAGATCCTGATGGTCCATCATCATATGTCATCCGTATCCCTGGTCATCTCAAAACTTACCCAGTCTTTCACGCCTCTAAGCTCGCTGCGTCCGAGGAAACTGATCAGTTTCCCTCTCGCCGAACCATGGACGGAGAAGTCGACATCGATGATATCGTTGACCACAGGGAGATGCCTGTTCAGAAGCCTCCAGCAAGGGGACGTCCTCCAAAGCCAAAGCTGCAGTTACGTGTCCACTTCAGACATCACACAGATCCGAAGGAGGACCGCTGGTTTACTCGGGAGGAATTGATGCAGACCGCTCCTCAAATCGTTGCCCGCTATGAGAAGGATGTATTGAAAGGAAAGCGCCAGACGGCTCAGGATTGATCTTCTCAGAGGACTAACGAAGATATGGAGGAGGGAATGCGAGGCTACGCCCGCTCAGCCCCTTCGGGGCCCTTTTTGTAGTATGTCGGCCGCCCTAAGTGAAGGCAGGCGCGACAGGCCCTCAGGGCCTCGATTTTCAGGTGAAATTCAGACAGTTGCGCTGCGCCAGTTGGTTGAAGGCGCCCAGGCCCAGACCATATTTTGCAAATGTATCTGAATGGCGACCTGGGCCAGACACGTGGAAAAGGCCGTGAGCAGGCCAAGGGCAGTTGGGCACATGCAACCATCAGGCCCTGGGCCTGCGTGTGAGGTCTGGGCCTGTGCCTACCGGGGCCTACCGGAAGCTTCCTGGACTGGACGCAGGCAGGCCACTTCGATATAGGGAAGGGCCTGCCTCCTCATTCGGCATTCGGGTGCTGGCTGCATGCTGCGCGAGCGCTGCTGCGCTATTTGCTGGCTGGCTGGCACGCTCTCACGGGCGAGCAAGAAGGAGCGGGCAGCCATAGCCGAGCTGCTCAGCTGTGAGCTGGGTGTGACGTAGGGTGGTCCTTGGGTGCAAGTGGCATCTGTGTGGTGTGGATCGGGGTTGTGAGTGTTGCGAGAGACATACCTGGTGCTGGAAGCGTGCGGCATTGTCCGCTGTATGCTCGTACTTCAGGGAGCTGTTGTTGTCAACATCGGCATTGTAGTATTAGGCTAGATAGGATCTGCCACAAGTAGTCTGGGCGCTGAGCGCCAATAGGATATCAACTCTTGTTCTTCGATGACGATGATGAGAGACTATTTCAGCATTGTCAATTCCGAACTATTGGTGTGTTCTGATTTGGTGAATCTCGTGATGCATGACTGCTGTTGGTTCGAGGTCAAGACTATCTGGACACATATGTATGATGCTGTTTGATTGCTGGAGTTCGCTAATGCTAATCTTCCTTGCATTATCATCTCTTTGTTCCTAAAGTCCTCGCCTCACCACTCACCAAATTTGCAAATTGGAGAATGTATCTTCCACTAGAATGTGGCATGATACACCGGCTGTAGCTTTTCTCTTTTTCACATGTGGCAAGTGGTGAGGCAAAAGGTCCTGACTTGTGGATGGTTCTAAGTCGGTGAATCACATCACAGTTGTGGTGAAATCCTGAAAAGTTAAAGACGTATGGACACTTCTGTCTTCACCCGAACATAACGTGTATGTGTTGTATTTGAGTTTATGAAGAAAAGACATCGATGACTCGAATAGAGCGCACATGAAACGGTTTCACCCAGCTCCCTCGACCTGTGCGTGAGCCCTGTACATTGACCCTGTGTGTTGAGTGAGATTCGATCCCTAGACCTACCTGTACCTTGTACATAGACCCAGTGATCTGTGTGGGACTCTATCCTGTGACCTGTCCTACACCCTAGGCTAGTCTGTAGGATGGATAGGAGGACTTGATCTCTAGGTTTGTAGGTTAGTAGTTAGGCCTGTTACCGTTAGGCTTAGGACGGTCTGTTGTAGAAGTCTCTATCTGAGTCTACTGAGGCCTAGAGTCTGATTGTAAGTCTGTAGGCTCTAGAAGGTCGTAGGTCCCTGTAGGCCAGTCCAGTCAGCAAGTACCAGGGGTAGGGGCTGCACGTGGGGAAGGTTTTGGACCACGCCGTGGGTTCCACACGTTTTGGCCCAGAAGAACACATGTCTGGAAGGTTCCCTGGGCCATGCGTTTTGGCCCAGGCCCACATGTTTTGAGGCAGGTCCGGGAACCTCCGAAGAAGTATAAATACAGAAGCAGCGTCCAGCCACTCGTTCATTTGTCTGTGAGCCATGCGGAAGAGCTGCCTTGGTATCTTGTGCGTGGAGGTCTGCAGGTGCCCGGAGAGGAAGTGGGCAGTGAGGAAGATAGCGGTCATAGCTGGCCAATGAGGAAGACGACGGCGGCCATAGCTAGGAGGAGGAAGACGACGACGGCCGTAGCCGCCCAGCTGTTAGTGCAGACAAAGCATACAGAGTGTGTGTGCCTGTAGCATGGACATTCAGGGAGATCCTCGTACATGCGTGCATGAGCGAGAGTGAGGGAGGTGGTGGAGACCGTGTTCGGCGGCCATAGCCGCAAGTTGTACAGTTGTCTTAAACAGAGTTTAAGTGCAAGTTCATTGTTGATTCTGAGTTGACGAGTTTGGTTTTGCCATCAGTTCTCGTATATGCGTGTTGAAAGCAAGTCTGAAGCCGAGTCTGGTTCCCGTTGTCCACGTCGGAGCTGCAATGAGTTGGAGGTGAGAGAAGCGGCCATAGCCAGTGTACAGCAGAGTGAGAGAAACAGACGGAGAGAGAGAGAGCGAGGAGGAGGCAACAGTGGACGGCAGCCATAGCTGCCGAGCTCGGAGAAGAAGAAGACCACCATCAAGAAAGGAGAAAGAAGAGACGCAGAGGGAAAGAAGAGGGGAGTTGATGAAGAGGAAGGTGAAGTCGGCCATAGCCAAGGTGAAGAAGACAACGAGAGTGACAAAGGAGAAGGTCCACCATAGTCGGAAGGTTGGAGGGTTGGCCAGGGGAGTTGACCAACGTTCACCGGAGGTTGACCAAGACTGTTGACCAAGCATTGACCGAAGTTGACTGGAGCGTTGACCAAGATTGTTGACCGGTGAGTTGGCAAAGACCGTTGATCGGAGCGTTGACCAAGTTGGAGCGAAAAGACAAAAGGTACCATCCTTCCAAGCCCTGGCGTAGCCTTTACCCCGTGGATTTGCACCTTCATCTTGGTACTTGCTGACGTAGAGTTTGTTAGAGTCGGTCAATTATATCTCCCTGTCACTTCTGTCTTGTTCGATGGGACTCTGTGGATGTGGTCGTAGAGCCGTGAACCGAACCCGAGTAGTGAGTAGAAGTCCCCTAGATATAAGTTAACCTGGTGGGTTTACGTGTTGAGGTGCGGAATCGTTGTGGATTGTGCACTGTCACCATGGTGAACCTCAGGTCCGGAACTAGCACCACCCCTTACAGCAAGGAGCAAGAAGAGAGAGTTGCTGCCCTTCTGCGA